CCGGCGACTCACGGCAGCCCAGCTCCAGGTTGAGCTGTTGTTCACCATCTTAGCTGTAGAGGGCAGTGTCACTGGCCCCCATGTGGGATCCGAATCGGGGCCCTGCTGCTCAGAGCTGGCTTCCCGAGCCAGCTCTTAACCAATGCGCCACTCGGCTGGCCCCCAAGACCTTTTTTTTTTTAAATTGCAGAACAGTGTGTTTTTCCAGGACCCATCAGCTCCAAGTCAAGTAATTGTTTCGATCTAGTTGTGGAGAGTGCAGCTCAGTGGTCCATGTGGGGATCAAACCGACAACCTTTGTGTTAATGAGCACTGTGCTCTAACCAACTAAACTGACCACCCCCCTCCCGCCCCAGACCTTTAAAATAGAAGGGAACATACGTGCACATCAGGGTCATTAATGAGGTGCTGTAGTTGGCTTGTGTTCACTTGTAAAGATGATTCTATCCACACAGACAATAGTTTAGGGGTTACCAGAGGGTAATGGGGGGGATGGTAGATGTGGGCAAAGAGGATCAAATTCATATGGTGATAGAAAGAGAACTGACTCTGGGTGGTGAACACACAATGTGATATATAGATGATGTGTTACAGAATGGTACACCCGAAATCTATGTAACTTTGCCAACAATTGTCACCCCTATAAACTTGAATTAAAAATATAAAAAAAGAAATGAAGCATACAAAATGTCATGAATAGAAAAAATGGTTCTATCCATTCCATTCCAAGTGTGCGTACAGTCCGTTCACACTGGCATCTTGAGGTAGACCACGATGCAATTATTTTACATCCATGAAATCAGCAAATGCCTTATATCAGGGCTTTTGAAAAAACAGTATTTTCTGAGAGCTGGTTTACCAGCACACCATGTGACAGTCATTACAAACACCAGTGTGCTCATTCAGACACGATATTTCTGGAGAAACTATACTAGGTATCATCTGATAAAGAGGGGAGAGCTCAATGGTCCAGAGAGGGTTTTTCCAGAATGATGTTGGATTTATCTGTTTCAAACTGAAGTTGATATTCATCCGTTTATTCATTTATGAAACAGTTTCTATGTTCTGAGCTGAAGAGATTCACACATCAGGGAATGTGGTAAATAAGAGTGAAAGAAAATGTATTACGTGAAAGTGGGCCAGAGATTGAAGGTGAGTGCAAGTGTGGATCCTAACCCGTGATATGTTTGTAGACTCATGTCATAGGGTTGAGAAAAGAGGGATGTCCAGTCAAGGAAAATCAATAGTGGTATGAAGTGAAGTAACCGCAGTTTAATTATAGAAAAGCCTCTACAGCATTTTCCTGCACATGAACCATGGTTACACCTTTGACAGTCTTAGCAGACAGTTTCCTCACTTATGCCCCAGATTTCCTTCCAGAACCTGTTGGTACCATCAGATTCTTTTCCAAGGCTCTACCTTGCTGAATGGTGGGGTGTCTCTGTGTTCACCTCCTGGCTGCATTGTGGGTCCTTGTCTGACTGTGCCAAGCTTCAAACAGCAGCACCCTGAGGGCCACCAGGATCAAGCCAGACACGCCCATCCAGGTGAGATTCTCCACCGTGTATCCTTGGGTGTCTGAGGCTGGAGATTGTGGACAAAGAGGTCAGATGGTCAAGGCACACTGCAATTACACCAGGATTCCTGCATGAGCAGCAGGGCACCTGCCTTCCGCTGACTGCATTTGACCCTGTGTGTCCAGTCCTTTAACTGAGAATTTCTCCTTACTCCCCAGTCTTGGTATCTGAATTGTTTTGTGATAGTCCCAGGATATCAGCTGCTCTTAGGACCAAAAACAGATAGGGTGTGGGTGAGGTGAAATAGGAATGCTTAGTAATCGCTCCTGTGATCTCCAGCGAGTCTACAACTAGTAATGCCCGTCTCAATCCCTTCCGGTGAACATCTTCGGTGTCTCTTCTTACATCTACTTAGGAAGCAAAGGTGAACATGTGGGGCTGTAATTTATCTTGAGGTCAGGGACAGGAAGAAGGGAAAGGCTGGGTCTACTTTTTCATTCCTCCACCTCAGCTAGCTCCTTTTGTCTCTGACTTGGGAATATCGTTTCCATGTCACATCCTTTTCTTCTGTTTATCAACCTTTCTGCAAATAAATGATGCAATACTCAGAACACACCAGGCAGCATGTTAGTATCAAGGATTACCACGATTAACACAACCTCTAATTATTCATTCAGTTTGTAGCCTAATAGGAAGATTAATAAGACACAAGCAAAAAATAAATGATCAAATAAAATATTTAGATGGAAGCTGGATGAAAATACAGATATGAGGTAGGCTGGGGTAATTTGACAAACATAATACCAGGAAATGCCAGGTATCTGGCAGGGGGATGTGAACACTAACACAGGTTCTTACGGGAGATGTTTGGAGGATGGACTGATCTGACTGACAACCTGGTGCTCATGGCAACAGGCAGAAATCCTGCCTTTCTCTTCGTCCTGCCAAATAATGACAGTGTTTGCTGGTGGAGACAGGACATGCTCAGAGTGGACTGATGTTACAAAAAAGAGTAACTCCTGTGCCTTCTTCCATGGGNATAGTAACAGAAATATCCCCCTGCAGTGCGCTCTGTCATGTTTCGGATGGAGAACTTGGCCTTGTCCCCGGGCTCCAGTGGCTTCTGTCTGTCCCAGGATCCTAGGACTCCCTCTCTATCCAGGCGGAACTCCTTGGCCCCCAGGGCCCCTTGACACCAGATGGTCACAGGGCTCCCCCAGGGGATCACAGAGCCTGGCTCAGCCCAGGCGGTAGGTTTGGGGAGGGTCCCTGGAAGGAAATCGGAGGCTGGGTCACAGACATTTCCAACACCCAGCCCCAGGGCTCAGCCTCAAACCTTCCAGACGACCCATTTGTCAGACCAGGACTGCAGTTCTCCACCCCCAGCTGCCCTTGTCCCCAGTGAGGAGATGAGACCTGAGACACCTAGGGATAGACTCACCTGCCTGCACTTGGGTCCTTGGCCCCACACTCGCTCCTGGAAGAGAGTCTCTGTGAGAGATTTGCCTCTGAGTCCTGAGCACAGCTCTCCTCCCTGTGAACCTCCTGAGTCCTGAGGACTCTTGACCAGGGCATGGCTGTGGGACAGGGTCCTTCCCCCTCCCAGACCAGGGTTTCTCCCTGTCCCAGACCAGGGCTTCCCTCCCCTCCTTACTCTCACCAAGACAGAGCAGGGCCATGACGGTGGGGGTCATGATGTCTCCTCCCTCCAGTTCCTGAAGTGCAGATGGAGGAGACCACAGAACCCTCAGACTGATGCACAGGGTGTGGCCACTCAGAGGCTGTCCCTTTCTGTCATGGGGTTGTCACATCAACAGCCCCACAGGAAGAAAAACAGTCCCTCCTCAGGAGTCTGGCTCTCATTTCCATGATGGAGCAGCAAATAGACCTGAGCCTCCTGAGACACCCCTTCCAGGTGAGGTGACCCAGCAGGGCACGTCCTGTCCTGTCATAGCCTCCCCCATGGGGTTTCCTTCACCCTCTGCCCATCCATCAGCACCTCCCTGTGGGATCCTCACCATGGACAGGGGTCACCCAGGCCCTGGAGAAGCTTCAGTGAGACTCAGGTTCCTGCTTCAGAGCTCAGATCAGTAGAGACGCATATTTACCATCTCACTGTGCAGTTCAGGGAGCGTCACTGTGACATTGAGCACAAAGCGGAAACACAGGGATATAGGGAAGGAAACACAACCCTTCTCCTGGCCCCAGAGTGTGACTTTCCCTTCATCACAGCCCCCTTCACGACCTTCTCTTTCTCTTAGCGACAGCATCCATCCCACTTCCCTGGGAACAAGCCTCTGAGCCGTCCTTGCTCCTCAGTGCCCCTTTCTCCTTGGGCAGAATTGTTCTCACATCCTGTGGTCCTGTCCTCTGACTCAGGGATAAGTGAGTGGGTTAGTGCTCTAATTTGGTGGACAAAGCTGACATTTAAATATTCCTCTTTCATCAACTGTCTGTGTGAGCTGGAGCAGTAACATCCAATCTCTGGGCCTCGTTTTCCTCATCTGTAGCATGTTGTCATGAACCCCACTCTTCAGAGTAGTTGTGGGAGCAGTGGTGCTGGGATATTAACCCTGGACAATTTCCAGACCTGACTAGGACATGCGGGATGATGTGTGAGAAGCTCACACTATGACTCAATGGTGAAGGTGGATGACAGCTGTGCTCACTCAAAAGCCTCCATCTGCTCCTGAGACATTGTTTTCATAGTATTTCTGAAATATGTGGCCACAGTCAATGCAGAAAACGAGAAATAAAAGCTTCCAAAATCTAGAGGCACCCACAACAAACAAAAGAGGTCAAGGCTATGTGGCCTCCAATGGCTGGACAAGCAAGCAGTCATCAGATAGAGGTTTCCACATCTGTATGGACAGAGAAGGATGCCAGGTCCTCACAGGCCCAGAGGGGAGCAGGGCTCCAGGCAAAATTTAAAAGCAGTGTCACCCCCTCCCCATGTTTTGTGGATGAGCACTGGAATATCTGTGCACACTGACCCAGCCCTCTGTGTGTGAAACGTATTCAATCCTGTCTATTCCCACTCAGGCATCCATCCAGGTATGAGTGTGAGGCTCACATTGGAACCCTCCCTGCCAGGCATGTCACCATCAGATGCTAAGTTTGGGAGAGTGGATGCCATGGGGCAGGGAAGCTGCATCTGTCCACCCCTTTCAGGCCTGGACATCAGGACAGCCCTGGGAGAAACTCTGTATGGAGATTCAAGTGTGTGGCAGGTGAGCTTCCACCAGGCATGGAAATCTAAGTGAAATCCTCATAGTGACAAATAGTGCTATTAAATAATGTCTACAGACAGTATTAATGAATGAGGGTTATCATATCTGAGGAAATAGAACACTAAGAATATAGGAAACTCATTTTAACTCAAGATTGTTGACATGTCTGTAAAATTAAAGGAGGAAATTGAATTATTGGAACAACTACATGGGTTATATTTTAAAAGTATAGAGAATTTTAGACATGAATTACATAAATAACATAGAGGTAAAAAATAATAAAAATAAAAACAAATTTGATTTAACACGCTCCAAATTATTTTCCATCAAGGACAAGCTAAGGCTGAAGATACAATTAGGAAACTGGAATACAATATTGAGGAAATTTTGTAGGATGCACTGCAGAGAGACTGCATTTAGAAAACTAAGTTACATGGGGAATAGAAGGAGAAGGGCTGATTCAGAAGGAAAGCAGTGAGCATGATGTTGCTACAGTCCTAGAGGCCAATGATTGGACATTTTACAGAGCAGCAGAGGGAACATGCAGTGTCAGGATGCATGACTATATAAATAAAATGTGTGTCTTCATATTTCATGGCAAGTGGATAAAATGGATGGGAGCTCACTTTGAAACATAAAAAAAGGCCCAAAATATGGGGAAAGTATATTTAAGGAATTAATTGAGAGTGAATAATATAATACATGTCCAAATGACTATTAAGGGCCAAGGTGCAAGTACAGGAGAGGAGAAATTCATAAGTAGGAGGAGACTGGGGCACGTCTGACCTGTTTGAACTCGTATCTCACATGTTAAACCCACCATAGCAGACTCTGTCTTCAGGAGGGGTGAGGAGGGTTTGAGGGTATGTCCTTAACCTTCAGAGAATTTCTCCTCCTTGTATTTGGATTATATTTTTTACTTGAAGTAAGGAAATGTCTTTAAGTATCTTAATAAAAAAAGTGAAAATAAGAAATTTACGGACATACAAGGTCTCAGATATTTTATTGTTTACACACTGACTCAAAAGCAATCCTGGGCCGGCCGAGTGGCGCGATGGTTAAGAACTTGCTTGGGATGCCAGAGGGCCCCGGTTCNCTCACGCAGGCTGCTGGCTACACACGGTAGCCCATGGCAACCCACCTGCCATTGCCAGCGACTCACGGCAGCCCAGCTCTAGGTTGAGCTGTTGTTTAGCATCTTAGCTATAGAGGGCAGTGTCACTGGCCCTCACATGTGGGATCCGAACCAGGGCCCTCTGGCGTCCCAAGCCAGCTCTTAACCAACGCGCCACTTGGCTGGCCCCCTACTTGCATTTCTTATTATCGTAAAATCCACATAACACAAAACCGACCCTTTTAATGTATATAATAAACTGGAATTTCGTAAATTCACAATGTTGCATTACCACTCCTATCTAGTTCTAAGAGAGTGTCATGACCCCAGAAGAAACCACAAAGCAGTCAGTCTCCATTCCCTCTTCCAACTCAGCCCCTGGCAAACACAAACCTGCTTCCTGTTTCAGTGATTTCCTTTTGGATAATTTCTATAAATGGAATCACACAAAATGTGATCGTTTCTGTCTGGCTTCTGTCAGGTAGCTGCATGTTTTCGATGTTCACCCACATTGTAGCAGTACCAGTGCTTTGTTCTTCGTGGCTGGATAGAAGTGCTATGGAGACACCACCTTCTGTTTATATGAAAGTGGTCCTGCAAGAAGGTGTATATAGATGTGGTTCCAAACCTGCCATGTGGGATGGACCCTCACGTCACAGGATGAGAACTGAAGGGCAGTCAAGGAGAGTCAGCCATGGCAGGAAGAGACAGCACCACGTTTAATGGAGGAAGAGTCCTCTACAGTGACACGCACATGTTTCCTGTCCCAACCACGTCTCCTCCCCAGGTCAATTCCCCGACGTATGGTCCACATGTTCTTTCACACCTCCTGGCTCATCAGATGAGCTCCAAGTCTGCACCCCTCTGAACGATGTATTTTTCCCTTCTGTGGTCACCTCCTGGATGCATTGTGGGTCCTTAACGGGCCTGAAACAGCAGCACCCCGAGGATCACCAGGATCACGCCAGCCACGCCCATCCGGATGAGATTCCCCACTGTGTAGTCCTGGAGATGGGAGGCTGGGAATTGTAGACACAGAGGTCAGAGCAGACCAAAACCACCCAGGATCCTGGATGTCCACGCAGGACACCCGCCTCCCTTTGACAAAACATGACCCTCAAAGCCCAGCCACATATCTGAGGATTTCTACTCACCACTATTGGGATCTGACGTGTTTTGTGATGGGCTGATGGTGTCAGCTGCTCCTAAGAATCATGAAATGAGGGTGTGGTCACTTACGGAGACACGAATTTTCTTTCTGGGTTGTGTGCTCTCAGATGCTTTCAGTTCTTCTATCATATCTTTTAACACAGAAAGTTCTGGAGTTGTTTTATCAATTTATTTTTTCATTAATTCATTTTTCATATAATTAGGAATAAATGCACTCAATAGATCTAGCAGATGAAATATATGGGTATATGGATGAATATTTGTAGATGTACTTGTAGATATATAAATTCAGTATTTATATAATAGTAGATAAATATGTAACTACACATACAGATAAATACTACATATACATTTTGTATGTAATATATTATAAAATATATATCTGTACATATAGTTGCAGATATATATCTCCTATTACATAAATACAAAAATTATAGGTCCACATGTAAATCTACATATATTTGTGNCTAGACTGAAGAACAAAAGGACAGCAACTTGTCTGTTCCCCTTCCCCCAATTCCCCAGCACTGTTCCCATCCCCCCAATTTCCCAATAAAAATCTTAAAAAAAAAAAACCAACCAACCAACCAAACAAACAAACCCAGAAAACTGTTTGAGCCTTTTGAAATCCAGGATTCTGCCTTCACAGAGGGGAGAACCAAGTTCTACATATGCATAGAATTTTGTCACTGGGCTCCATCTCAGGGGCTGGGGGCTAAGGCAACTCAGTTTCAGCTTAGACTCCCAGTGGACCCCCAATCACCCTGACCTGAAAATGGGAGCCCCCGTTTACTCTATTCATTTTATGTGGGCCTGATTTCACAGGTGCTGGGATGCCGGTCAGGGGCCCTAGATCAGCACCACAGATAGCAGCAGGCAGGGCATCTGCTCTTTTCTCCCCACCTCAGCTAGGCATGTTCCCCTTCATGTCTTTCCGCTCACACTGCCCACCAGTCAGGCACCAATGACTTCTGTGCTACCTGAAACTCGAAGCCTCTTTCTCAAATCTCCACCGTTCTTCCCAACTCTTTAGGGAACAATCCCTTCTGAAAATATTTGATGTTTACATGATAACCTGAGAAATAGCAAAAGCCTGGTGGAATCTGTCTCCTCCAGGCTAAGAGGACTCTGTCATCCAAGAGATATGAAGTTTGTCCATGTGAGTGAGAGTGTGCAGTTCACAAATGCTGCATGAAACAGGGACAGGAGGAGGATATTGGGTTGTTGCTGCCTGTTCATGTCATCCTTTGCCCCATTTCTTTTCCCCAAAGTCGGCCCTTCACACTCTTCATTCTCCTCCCGGCACACACCCAGTACAATCTGGACCTGCAGGTGGGGCAAGGCATGGTGAGGGCAAGAGACTCCCCATTTTTTCCTTCTTTCCATGGGGAGGCATCCCTTTGTCATGACCCCCTTGTTGCTCTTTCCTTCCCATCCCAGCCCGGAGCTCTACTGGGACAGCGCTGTGAGCTTAGAGCCTGGTCCCTCAATGAACATGGGGTGGGAGCTCCCCACCTCAGGCCATGAGCTGCAGGGGGTGACTGCAGTAGGGGGAGGTGCTGCGTGAACAGTAACACCTGTAAGTTCCCCCATGGGCTGAGGTCACAGGACTGATGGTGAAGTTGGCCTGAGAAGGTGCAGCTGTGTCCTGCAGACGAAGGTGCTGGGGAGGAGCAGGTGACCCCTCCTTGTGCAGGTGGAAGGTATCAAACCAGATCTCAGAGCGACACTGCAGGGTCACATTCTCTCCCCAGGACACTGAGGGTCCTGGCTGGACTGAGAGGGAGGGTTTCTTGTACGTTCCTGAGTGAGAGAAAGGTCATGTGTAGAGAGCTGCCCCCTCCCCATATGCTCTTGACCCTGAGCTGAGGGACCACGTCCTTCTCCAGGGACTCTGGTTGTGAGCCCCTCTCAGTCTGTCTGGGTGGGGCTCTTTTATCTCCGTGTCCCTCACTCCCCTTTTCTCTCTCTCCTTAGACCACACCCCATCTCAGCCTCTGCTCCAGGACCCTCCCCTATACCCCATCACCACCAGGGTGACCGTGGGCCCAGCTCCCTGAGCTGACTATCAGGACATGGGGCAGGGCAGGGCTCCCCACCTGTGATCAGGATGTCCAGGGGGGAGCTGGGGGCCGACCATGCATAGGAGCGGTTGTGTCCACTGTAGCATCTGTTCCGGCCCTTGTTAGGTGTGTGTCCAGGGAAAAATTGGCTCCAAGACTTTGGAGGGGCATGAGCCCCTCGTCCTTGCTCAGAGTGAATCTGTCAAAGCTGGCCTCCGAGTGACACTGGAGGGTCAAGTTGTGTCCAGGCAGCACCAATGTGCCTGGCTGGGCGGAGAAGGTGGGCTTCCTGTACACCTCTGGGGAGAAGGGGTAAGTGGTACCCAGGGGACACAGCCCACATTGCCCACTGTGCTCCAGTGAGAGTTCTCACTCTTCCCTCTCTAAACATCCTGCCTGTGGCTTTGTCCCCAGGAGGCCAATGTCACCATCCCTCCATTTCCTCCTGGGACCCACTAGACAAAGGGCTTAGGTCAGACATTTTGGACCCAGAAAAGAAATGGGGCTGAACAGGGATCCTCTCACCTAAAACCTTGAGATACAGAGGGTCACTGGGGTATGACCACACATTGGGGTAGCAGCTGGAGGCACCATAGCATCTGTAGGTCCCCCCATGGGAAGTGTTCACAGGGCCCACAGGGAAGATGGTCTGGGCCCAGTTCTGCCACCTCCCATCATAGATCCTTGATTCCACGTGTCGGGGCGGGTCAGCTCCTCCATCCTTCAGCAGATGGAAAGTATTTCATGTGGACTGTAAGCTACACGGGAGGGACACGTTCCCTCCTGAGGCCACCACAGGGCTGGGCTGGGCTGAGAGGGAGGGTGCATCGTGCACACCTGAGGGAGAAAAAAGGAGCTGTGTTAAAGTGGAACAGTCACCCCACATACCCCGGGTGTGGGCTGGAAGGGGTGAGGTCCCCCTGAGTCCACGCTCCATGTCCTGCCTGTGAGGAGGAGCCCACAGTGCTGAGGGGACCCAGCTCTTACCTCACGCCCCTCCAGGGACAGGAGGTCACTCTGCTCTGACCAGCCATTCCTACTGGTGTAATATGCACACTGGTACCATCCTGCAGTGGGTGAGCTCATGGATTTAATGAGGAAAATGGTCTTGTTGTTGGAGTCCTGTGGGACCTTCGTATCCAGCACTTGAGACTCCTGCTCTTTATACAGATGATAGGCTTCAGCCTGCGGGGACCCCTGACACCAGGTGGTCACAGGGCTCCCCTTGGTGACCATGGGGCCTGGATCAGCCCAAATGGATGATTTACTGAGGACTCCTGGAAAAGAATCAGACCTGAAGTGTCAGGGGTGTCCTTCTCCCTGTTTCCCTAGCTGTCACTCCAAGACCACTCCCAGACTGGTCACCATCAGCCCAGACATTGTTCCCTCGGTGCCCAGGAGATTGCGGGTTGAAGCAGGAGGTCCAGGGGAGGACTCACTGATCTATATTTGGTCCTGACACAGCCCTGGTAGAGCGTGCCTGTGAGAACCATCTCCCACTGATACTCCAGAAGCTCCAGGCCTGGGATGGGCTGCTGAGTGCTGGGGTCAGACCTGGGTCTGAGCATATCTAGTCTCCCTCCAGAAATTCTTTCCTCACTGAGCCTCCTGAGTCCTGGGGTCTCTCATGGACCAGGACCTTGGAGGAGAAGGGACCCTGTTTCTTTCCTCCCCGTAAAGCTCACCGAGGCAGAGAAGGACAATGAAGTTCTGGGTCCTGGCGCTTCCTCCCATTGTCCCCAGTGGTGCAGGTGGTGTATAATATTCAAAGAGCCCAGCAGGACAGGTAAACACACGGGGTGTGATAGGGTCCAGGTTCCAGGTAACACATCACAGGTTCCTCATGAACCCTCTCTATTCTGCCTGAACAATGGGGCTGAGCAGACAACAGGCTCTGGGACTTTTCAGACCAGATATGGGTCTCACTAGATCCCACACGCTCTGCCACCACCTCATACCAAATCCAGAGGGTGACACTGGTCCCAGAACACTAGGATAAAGAATGTAACGGATGCAGGGCAGGACCTAGGAGCAGACCAATTTCTGTTCTAATTCTGACTCTGCCTTTTATAGAAGCTGTGTGAAATTGGGTAAGTCACTTCCCTTTTCTGAGACTCTGTAAATGCAAATTTTCTTCCTTTCTTTCACTGTCTTAGCAAACAATTGATGTTTACTGAGCAGTCACACTGTCCAGGCATGAGAGTCATTGGAGAAGGTGATTGGTTCCTTTCCTGGATGCATGGAGCTGTGATTAGTGACAACAGACAATACAAACATTTAGACAATGAATAATTTGGTTATAGGTAGGTAAGTTCTTCAGAATGAGAAAAACAGAGGACAGAGAGAATAACAGGGGGACAACTAGCAACCTTAGTCATGGAGTGTGGGGGACTTCTGGAAAAGAGCAGGACACGATAGGTGTGATGAGGGGATGACATTCTTGACCAGGAGGATGGTGTCTATTCTAAGCGCTGTGAGTCATCAGGGAGTGCTGTGTCCTGGTCACACAGGCTCTTGTGCTTCTTGAAGGTACTCTTGGGTTTTATATTTAAGGTAACAGGAAAAAATTCAGTAAAAGAAGGTATGAACAGATTGCTGTTTTGAGAAGATAGCACTGTGTAGAGAATGGTCTGTAGGAGATGGTATAAATGATAAACCGATAAAACTCCAACATTACTCCAACCCCTAGGTGATGAACTGATCGGTATTCTAAGCGGTTTATGAGACTTTCTCATGAAACTTACATCAATCCTGTGACACAAATACATTCACAGCTGAGTGAAAAGAGGGAGGAAGACTTCTTTTTCATAACAAAGTCTAGGTTTGGAAAGCAGTCTGCTATGTTCAAGTTGGCTCAAAAAGCACCCATGAGAGGGCACAATGTGGTGATGACTCAGGTTGTGTGTGTATCTGGGGAGGGAAGGTGATTCCCTGGGATGAGTTCGGTTTGCAGGAAAGAAGGGAGGAGCTAGAGTTTAGCTCCTCCTGAACTACAATAACATGCAACATCAGGTGGAGGTACTTTGATGTTACTGGAGTAAGGTAGAGACCTGTGGAAAGGTTTTGTGCAGGGGATGGTCAGTGACAACGAAGTTTGGGGCTGTGGGAGTAAAACTCCTCAGCTGGGAGTGAGGGCTTGGAGGAGGCCAGCCAGGAAGGAGGCTGGTGGGGTTGCACCAATGTGTCTTGAGTCTTCAAACAAACTTGACTGTTGTGATAAACTGGGTCACAGAAAGAAGGGCTCAGTGGAAGAACTGTTGAATTTGTTCACTGTGTGTGACAGGGGGAAGAGAGTGAAGAAGGAGAGGTCTTCCACTCTCTGCCCTGGTTGACTGGAAGAGCCAATGCGGCCATCACAGGAAAGATGACCCAAGAGGCGAAGGAGGCTTGGGAACTTGTTTATAAAATAGGAAACTGACTCACAGAGGGAAGTACCACCTTGCTTTTGGCCTGGGTATGTGGTTTGCTTTCCCCTAACACTTCCTCTTTCTGACTTCCTTGTTTCTATAAGCAGCAGAACCTTCTCTTCATCACTCTCCATCAAAACCTGCGAGTCATTTCTGCGTCCTCACTGGCCCTTCTCCCATAGACAAGAACTCTTCATCTGATACCGTGGATTCTGTCTCCGTGCTTTGGGCAAAACACTAGTTGGAGGTCATTTACAGGTTTTAATTTAAAACATGCGAGAAACATTTATTGACTGTCTAGTTTGAGTCAGTAACATGCCCTTTCCCATTTTTCTTATTGTAGAAAATGATGAAATCTCACCTTTCAGGGTTGTTAGACTCAGTAGTGCCTGGGACAGGAAGGGTTTCACTCTGGTGACTCAATGAACACACAGGTATAAGAGACGTGTGGTGGGCCGGCCGAGTGGCGCGATGGTTAAGAACTGGCTTGGGACGCCAGAGGGCCCCGGTTC